CCTCAGGAGAAAAACAAAGAACAAAACATCAACAACCAATAATCACTCACACAGAGAAAGTATTTACAACCGAATGTGATATTCATCACTGAATGCAAAATTCTACATCAGTATTGTTAGAAAGACCACAGACATTCCTGTTAGAGTTAATATCTGGTGTTTGACATGGAAAACTCTCAGGAAACAGTGGTTTCATACATTCAGTGCAACTTCCATTCAAATGGAATTAAAATGCTGGAGACAGAAGGAATCCAGCACTGCAACACTGATTCCCAGCATCAATCCAGTCCCATTGAGCAGTGTTAAAATCAATGGAACACATTGCCAAAAAACAAATGATGTTGACAAATGTAACTGTTGCATAAAGAAATTGGTAACAGCTATGCAAATCACTGTCTTTCCATACCAAAATAAGAAAGGACCTGCGACATAATGCCTAAGGTGGAGAAGTATTGTTTATACTCCTCAGCATAAACAGTGCTGAGGAATGGAACCATCTTCATATACACGAGGTAATGCGTGTTCATCCCAAAGAAAAAATGGTTAACAACTATTCTGGGTTCCTAAAACTGTTTTGAAGTTGATCATATTGTTACTTAAAAGCAATGAAGAAAAGGAGAGGTATTATCAGATGATCATTAAGTCTTCCGAAACAGATTAAATAATCATTAATTTATTCCTATTATAATTACACATTGATTGTCTACACACAATTTCTAATTACAAGAGTGCTAACAACCAGAATTCAGTTGTTTTTTTTTTTTTTTGTTTTTTTTTTAAAGGGAACATATTCATGGTTCCCTCAACAACACCAGCTGTTTTCCTGCAAGATTGCCAAAATCAAACCACAAAACAGCTAAGTGCAAAATTAATGATAAGTATATTACAGAAAGCCAATGAACCATCACATCAGTATTACACAAAAGACTGATTCATACAGTAGTCCTTTCTCTATGGTTTATGGATTGCAAGCAAAATATTTTCATAAGCAAAGAATGTTAAAAATCCACATAAGTAATTATCCAGTTATGCTGTTAAAGGCACTAGCACCAGCAACAGAAGTTTTGTATCAATAAATGAATCTATCCTAATCAGACTGTTTTGTGGCTAGTAGAACATTTAGGGGGGTAGGGGGAAGAAAGGAAGGGGGATAAAGGCGAAGGGTGGAAAAGAGAGAAGGGAGGGGACTGTGGAAAAATCCCCCAGAGCCCAAATGAAAGACAGCAACTATTTTGTGCTCGATCCAAAGCCTTTGAAGTTAACAGAAAGTCTTCAATTAAACTGCACAGGACTATGCATCAGGCCCCTTTCATGATTTAATGCATTGCCTCAGATTAAATTCAAGAGAATAGTGACATTTTAAAATATATTTTTCATTAAAAAGTACGTTTTTTTTTTTTTTTTTTTTTTTTTTAATAAATTAAAGCCAAGATCAAAGAAGTACATTCATTAACATCAACTCAAATAGAAACCTTTCTATTTTTCAGAGATAGAAAATACAGATGTGACTGTCCCTCCTTGGATGCAGCTATTTGGTTGAAATTCTGCTTGATTTAGAAACGCCATCTTCCCTTCTTTCTATGTCACAAAGCTAAAAAGTACTTGAATTATCTTTAAAATTTCCTGCTAAGGAAATTTATGTTTTTAAAGGTAAGAGTATTTTTTAGAATAATTATTATTGTTGTGTAACCATGTCCTACTCATGTCTCGTAATCCAAGACTACCATTTACTGATACAATCTGAGGAACCTCGTGCTCCAAATAGCCATTTAGCAATTGTAATGCTGTACATTGATTAATACCTCTAATATCACAGCCTTTCATAAAACGCTTCCAACAGACTGCATTGTCATGGTAATTTTACGAGCACTGTGACTACCCTACCCTTACTCTTTTTTGGTTCCAGATGAGAAACATGTTGAGGGGTGGGACACAAACTCATACAGGCAACAGATGTAAAATTCACTCAGCTTCAAAATAACATCCCAAACTTTAACTGTAGCATTATAACCTTGGAATAACCATTAAAATATGTACACCAAGACATTCCTGCATAATCATCGTAAGTACAGCCATTCTCATCAGGCAACCTAGACTTTCAGTCTAGGACAGACCAAAATCATACCATGCTGCTCAGTTGAATTCTGGCATATCTGCCTATGGCCATGCATAAGATGTCCATTCTATGAGGGCTGCTCTGAAAGAAATGCCTGCTGTTTTAAGATTTTGGTCCACTACAACAGAAGCAAATGTTGGTGGTACAGCAGTATAGGTCGATCCTCCTCCCCAGTATTCCATTCCATGTTGTTGCTGTGTGACAAATGGCAGCAGAGAGGCAGTCTGATAGAATGGCTTTGATGAAACAAAGGTGCTTGGCCTTTGTCTGCTCTCAATCTTGCAATGAACAACTTTTTCAGCATTAGCTTCTGGAGCACAATAATGATGAACCAAGGCTCCCAGAACAGCTCAGGGACACATGCTACAGTAACCACATTAAAATGCTACACAGATGGAAATCTGTTTAAAAAATTAGACAGCAGGTCTGCCACGTGTTCGTCAATACTAACAACTGGCAAATGTGTTTGTTGCAGACAGCACAGAACTGTGTTCAGAACCTGTAGAAAAGCTCAGTGAGAATCTAGAGAATAAAGGTTCCATTTTCAACAGCTGTGACTAAGCACCAACAATGAAGTCCAGCTGCAGTCACATGGCAACATTTAATACCGTCTTTACAGCAGAGTTTACCATCTGTTAATAGCAATTGAGCCAGCTGCAACAATACTCAAAATGGATGTAAAGAGTTTCAGCAGAGGTGCACGAAGGACAGCTCACCCACTGCTTCTTCTCTTATATTAATGTGTTAGCCCTGTGATGTTTTCTATAGATTTTATAAATGAAACCCAGAAAACATCTTTTTAAATAGAAAAGTATGTCTATCTTATTCTGAAAAAAATATGCGGAAAAATAGTAATAGAACATAAACTCTCAGTGGGCAGAAGGAATTAAACAAATATCTTGACTACACATCCACTATGCAAAACTAATATTCAGCATTCCACAGTGAATTAAAAGCAGATTGCCTTTTATCAGTGAAAACAAACCTATTTGGAAAATGAAAACAGCCACAGGATGTTTTGCTTCAAATATTTCAAAACTGAAGTTAATGAAAAGGTAAACAGTATGGTCGACATTTCACAGGATCTAAAGAATACTGCTAGAGATAGATTTTTTTTCCCAAATGTTATTACTAATAACTAACTGTGGGAAAAAATGAAATAATACACTGACATATTAACTTTTATTAAAGCACGCAAAAAATACTCCCTTCAGCAGTGGGAATGCTATGGTCAGCCAGTGGCTCAGCTACCACTTGTTAGGAGAACTACAACGGTGAGGTTAAACTGTTGGTTTAAAACAGCATCAGAACTCACCCAAACACTTGTTTATTTTAAAATGAGACTCATTCATTATAATAGGTGAGATTAAGTCTTTCATACTGCTGTAAAACCCTACTAGCAGCAGAAAGTGACACAAATAAGAATTTTAAAAAACAAAACAAGTCCATCAAGACACCTGCATTATATGTTTTCAAGGATTGTGGCAAAATAAAAGTCAATTTTAATTAAATTTGGAAAATATACAGTTAGCCATGACTATGAAAACAAGAATTCTATTACCTAAGAGAAATATCCTGGGCTAGGAAAATTTCATAGCCACCTCCTATCCTTTACCATAATCCACTTATATCTGAAGAACTTCTAGGAAAAGAAATGGATAGATAAAATGAACTGGTAAGATTACCAATACTCCCTTTCGTATTCTTGACAACTGAAAAACTGTCCTCTTAGGCAATTCCAAATATATAAACTCATAAACTCCTTCAAAACAACTGAATCAAGTATTTCATTCTGGGACTTCTATTCTTGAGAAAGCAGTCAGAACAAAGCTGATGCACTGAACATATGATAGACAGCAGCAGAGGGGCAGAATTGTGTCCACCATATCTGCTCCTGATGTCACGGGCCAACAGAATAAAATAAGATGTATTACTTTTGGAACAGTTACCATACATCAATAAGATCCAACTTGTGACCTCTCTAGTATACTCTAGTATACTCTCTAGTATACTAATTTCATTTTGCTTCAATGATATCCTGTTGCATTCTATGCTGATAACTGAGCTGCACCACATATGGCCATGCTTTGATAGAGTGTAATTACATCACTGTAGGAGGAAATGATCAAATACTGCATTAAAACTTTGACTGTGCATGATGTGTTTTTCAGATCTCAGATGCTCCACAGCCCTCAGCTGCCCATCCAAAAGAATTTAGGAGGATTTGGAGGAAAACCTACTGTTTGTTTTACTGATATTTTTGATTCGAAGTCACTTTGCAAGATTGTTTCTGCAACAAATCACTTACAAGGCTACCTTTTTCTGCTCTTTACAGTGTCTTCATTTTATCCCCTCCAGTTATTACTAGTTAGTTAATATTTAGTCAGTGGACAGTGGAGAAACACTGTGTTGAAATGGCTGCATTAAAGTTCCACCTTTATTTCAGGCTAATGTCCTTTTCACATGGATAAACTTCTCTCTTCCTCTCAAGTACATAAAGCTTATTTTCATCTGTTGTTGAAAGTGTAATTATTTACATTAATTAACTCATGTAAATGTACTAGAAAACATGACAAGCCTATTTATAAAAACTGTGCTTCCTGGTATGCAATTCCTGTTGCTTGATGTTAGCCCACCAGCCTTAATGAAAAGCCACTCGTGCTAAAATAACTATACAGTTTTTTGCAGACGTGCCCTATTGGAGTGATGACTTCAGAAACAAAAGAAAGATTTATAGTTAAGATCCAATATAACGTACATCACACACTATGCAAATGCAGATAATCCCACTCATACACACGCATAACTTAAATACATCATCATTAGGGGCTCAGACATTTTCTCACACTCACAGATAAGGAGCAACAAAATCAGCAAACCTTACCTTTCTGCAGATACTTTCAAAATTAACTTCTTTCCTAAGTGCAAGTCTGGTAACTTGGTCCGGCTTTATTTCCTGTGGATGAAAGACATATTTATGCCTTTTATGATCAGACTTTACTATTCTAAGGCTTATCTTCCTTACAAGTACTATTATTTCACGGTATCCTCTGATTTCGTAAAGGAAGAAGATCATCTGTTATGTACAGAAATTTTTGATGTTGTTTATGCAAATAATATATTTTATTGACATACACAAATATATAGGGTTAAGCCATGAAATTGAATTTGAAATTAAAACAACCACCCAAGAAAACAACAAAGAGCTCTCCCTTCTCCCTCTTGTGGATATAATGAAGATGCAATTTCCATTTCCAGCCTTAAGAATTTCCATTAGAATAGAATTAGCATGCCATTAGGAATGAAAATCCTGTGCAAGTAGAGTTGGTTAGAAGTTGGACATTTCATGAAACCCACACCTCTGACAGATTTTTCATTAACACACATATTATATACAACTTGCATTACAAAACAAACAATCTGTTAACTTGATCAGTAAAATACACTAAGTATTGGCCTTTTCTTCCTAGGTCACTGCATCTAAAAAATCATGCAAAACACCAGTTGTTTGCCAGATGGTGACTTTAAAAGCAGTTTAACTTCTGATAATACGGAGCCCAAATAACTTCCATGTATTCATAGTTTGAAAACTTTGTACAAAGACAGCTAGTTATTCTGATAGTTATTGTGTAGATATTGTTCATATCACTATACTGCAGGTTTCAACTTAAAGAAAATTATTCTGAATTTCTGAAACTCCACAAAAGCATATGCCCTAAGTCAAATACAGTAAACTGCAACACCTGTGCCAATTGAGATATTTGTGTCAATATTTGTTAGTGTCAGAAGAGCTTCCTCATGCTGAGATCTAAAGGTCTGCAAATTCATCTCCCATAGGTACTGGTGGAAGCCCAACCACTTGGCACACAGAACCCAGACTGGAAAAACACTGGTGAATGTAGGAAACTTACACTGGCAGATAGACAGACTGGATGACCTAATAGAATCTAGAGATGGAAAAGACCTATGATTCAGTTTTCCATGACTTTCAAAAGCGTTTTACAGATGGTGAAACTAGGACACGGTGGTTAAGTGACATGCTAATAGTCAGAGTTGGCGAGAAGTTATGAATGAAGAGCTGGAACCCAATACTGTTCATTAAATCTAGGTGTTTCTTTATATTAAAAAGAATCTATATAATAATTTATATGATCTTCATTCTACCTCCTCCCCCCACACAGGAAAAATGTGCCTATTTTTTGTTTCTTAAGGATTTAAATGCAGCGTTCTCTTTTAAAGGGAAGCAAGATAAGCTTCAGCCATACCTGCAGTCCTTCACCCCAGACCCACCAGCAGCTGTGCACAGGACATGTGCTAACCCCACTCTCACTGCAGCTGGCTGCTGGAACAGAAGCTGTCCCTTGCTCTAGAGGCTGAAGCAGAAACCTTCAGCAGCTCCCTGCACCCCTGGCACAGGCTTGGGCTCCTACATCCTGGTCTGACTCCATTTGCTGACCCTGTATTTACTCATGGTTGTCCCAGCAGTAGCTGTTACTTCTGTGCTTCGTGTTGCGCATTGAGACCCACTATCCACTTCCACAACAGTGTCTGCCAGCTATAGCACTTGTGTAATTGGTGCTGGCCACAGCCAGATAGCAGATTCTATTGTAAATGCAGGGATTCATCTCTTTTCTAAAGGAGGAAAGGCACTCAGCAGGCAGTGGAGGTGGACCTTTCAGTGGCTGTTTTTTCATCATCCCTCAAGAGGATGATGGGTAGGCAAGAGACAATGGGCTGATTCGAGACCGTGTTCCATCTCACCATCTATCATGAAGCCCCTTAAGAGACAAGGACATGTGCAGGGGAGAGATCTGCGGGCTGGTGCACACAACATGAAGCACAGTGGTACTCTCACCTCTCTGGTGCTCTAGCCAAGATAACAGGCTCCACAGGGGCAGCAACAACAGGGGTCTGTCAGTCAGCTGGGCCTCGTTACGGCTGCAGAAGATGACGAGGCCTTGAGCTGAGAGTAAGCTGAATGAAGAGGATGTGGAAAACCACTGGAAATAAGAAAACTGCCGGATGTGACAGATAATGCAAGTAGTTGGCAATACAGTTACAGATCTCTGAGGGCTGTGTGAAGTACAGACAAGCTTCAGAGAAAGCTAGAGGAGTTCTAGAAGTCTCATGGGGAGGAAATCTTACAATTTCAATGGTACATACGTAGACCTACCAGTAACAGCACATACAGTCACATCTATCTACAAAGTCACATCAAAATAACCAAATTTGGGTGTGGTACAACAAAACTGGCAACAATGGGAATAACAAATTATGGGTGGGCAAACACTAGACTGGGACGGAATAAGGGATAGCCAGAGGCAAGGAAAGGCTGGACTGTGAAATGGGACAACACAGCATGCAGCCAGACAGCTGAGCACTGCTGTGGGGCAGCCCTGCTGCTGCATGTCAAGCACTGCAGGCAGCAATTTCACCCTGTTGCCTATGGAAATGTAACAAAGGCTATTCTTCTGGTTTTGGGTTGTTTTTGTTTTGTTTTTGTTTTCAATGATGTGGTTATTTAAACTGGAACTGTCTTATACATGAAAACAAGACCATATTGTACAGAAGTATGTCAAACACAAATGGCATCTGAAAATACAATGTCATACCAACACTGATAATGGTGGCTCAGATTACTCTTTATCTCTTACTTATAAAGTGATAGTGAAAACATACATGCTTTATCCTAAAGCAAATGGAAATGTGGTTTACAGAATAGCCAGGGAGGACAGAAAAAACTCCAACCTTGTCATATGAGGTTTTGACACAACTGAGAAATGCAACATTATTCACATCAAATGCACTCTCAGCTATGCTGACTAAGGCAATTTCAGATGACTCAGAAGAACAGTTTGCCAGTGGTGGCCTGTGGAAACAATTTAGGAGTACCAGTCCCACACTATTAAAAATTTTACCTATCATCCACAGACAACTTTGTTTTGGCCAGTATTTTCCTTTTTCCTTTATCAGTTCTATCATTTTCCTCAGAATTTTTTCAAATTTTCTTACCTAATGCAAGTGTTAAGCCTTTCCTTATGAAATGATGCAGTATCTACCTTCTCTACATGATGATTTTGTTCTTCTTACACTTAAAGAATTTCTCTAAAAATAATAACTAACTGAGTCAGGACATACACAAATTGCTAACACAGCAGCCATACCTAAAATAAAATATTTCTGGTGAAATTTCAACTATAGTTTGTTATTCAACACTGAACTTAGATCTTCTGAGACATTATAATCTTTCTTACCCTTGAATGAGTGTTTGAGGCTACCTTCTCATGGACAAGTTTCATATGTATTTCTTTAGCCTTCAGCCTCATTTTGTTATTTTCTGTAATTTTTCTAGGTTCTTTAGCAATGTAGAAAATACATTCATTTCAGGACAGATCTGAAGATCCTTTTCTTGTGTGTGTGTGTAATTTAATGACTATATGGCTTCCAGTCCTAAGCAATTTTTTCTCTTTTCAAAGCCTCTAGAAGTTCAGTATTTTACTTATTATTCAGAGCATAAATATTCTTTGACTCACTGTAAAATACTACTGTTGTGAAGCATGTTTTTGCTTCAAAAACAGATAATGCTCAACGGAATATCTTCCGAAGAGTGAAAGGAATCCACTGTGGCTCCCTAAAAAGATTATATGATTTTAAAAATACACCAAATCCATGATCAGAGTATGAGTTTGCTTGAACTGTGAAGGCCTACTGTAAAGAACTGCAATACTATCATTGGTTATAGTAGATTGACTGTGAAGAAAAAGTAACACTAGCTTTATCCTTGAGACTTTAGAAAAAAAATACCTGGGCAGTAACAATGATCCAAGCATATATACACACTGAAATATCTACAATATCTCTGAATAATTTTCCAGCAGACAAGAACAAAAGCACCTTTCTGACAGTAGTTACAAAACAACTACAAAGTTGTTAAACGTTTCTACTGAGGGATGAAAATTTGTCCACGTGTTGACTATGTATATATGTGTACATATATTTTTTATATTTGCTCTCATTTTCCACTACAGATTTAAGGGGTAAAATGGGCCAGTTTCTCTCTTGGTAATGTCATATTAAAGAAGGGGACTCTCATTCTGGACAAAGAACCCGTAGCCTTCCTGACTCCTGGAAATTCAAGCTTTCACTTGGCTTTAGTTTTTTCCTCAGTGGAATCCTGGCAATCCAGGTTACACACATCTTTACCCATCACATTTAAATTACATAAAATCCTTCCAGAGAAGTCTACGGAAATTTGCAACAAATCAGTAGCTGTAACTTGATGTTAGGTAAACTCAGAGCATGTTATCTGCTGCATGTTCATGACTACAACTTCTGGAGTGAAGCTTTTGACAGTTGAAAACCCACTCTTAGTTTTACTGAGTTTTCTGCTTTGTTCACTGCAACATATAACTCAGAACACCCACTTGCCTTCTCCGGCTGAAGGACACTAGAATGCTTGAATGATGTAACCACACCACTTGCTTTACCTGATGCTGAGAAACAGACTAGACAATCATTAAAATTTTCCTGTCCAAAACTGACAAAAAAATAGGTTGATTTCCACTAGGTGAATCAATATAGTAGCAATATCCTAGTACTAAAAATTCTATTACTAGCAGCTGTGAAAAATATCCAGTCCTAATATCCAGGTGTTTCTATTAAAAATACAGCACAGTTTGAAATGATGGCAAATAATAAATGGAATTTTTCCATCAGGAATTCAACCTAGAATTTTGCTCTTTCCATTCTAAAAGGACCTGCCATCATCCTCTATTGCAGCAGACTGCTAAAAGACACTTTCCTCACTTCTTCATACATGTGGAAGAAAAAATATTATGCTGGAAGTACCAAGAACTGTTGAGGAGCTATGAGGTTTTCAATCCGCAAGTGAGAATCCTATAAGGGCTTCTAACAGTCTGATTGGAGGTAGGTGGATACACATGGAGTCCAGAATAG